CAATTAAAGTTTATAGATGAAAAATGCAATGTTTTTACATTTCTTGTATATTTCGATAATTACTTCATCTAATTAAAAACAAAAGTAATCTAATTAAAGGTAAAACTATGATGTTTTTGATGAGCCTACTTTGTTGTTTCTTTGTATCGTTTTTCTGTAATATAATGTCAAAGTTAAACCAATAAAATTTTATAGATGAAAATAAAAAATGCAATGTTTTTACATTTCATTGTATATTTCGATAATTACTTCAACTAATTGTAAACTAAAGTAATCTAATTAAAGGTAAAACTATGATGTTTCCGATGAGCCTACTTTGTTGTTTGTTCGTATAGTTTTTCTGCAATCAAATGTCAAAATTAAACCAATAAAATTTTATAGATGAAAATAAAAAATGCAATGTTTTACATTTCATTGTAAATCTCGATAATTACTTCAGCTAATTGTAAACTAAAGTAATCTAAGTAAAGTTAAAACTATGATTTTCCAATGAGCCTACTTTGTTATTTCTTTGTATCGTTTTCCTACAATCAAATGTCAAAGTTAAACCAATAAAATTTTATAGATGAAAAAAAAGTTTTTACATTTCATTGAAAATCTCGATAATTACTTCAGCTAATTGTAAATTAAAGTAATCTAATTAAAGGTAAAACTACGATTTTTCCGATGAGCCTACTTTGTTATTTCTTTGTATCGTTTTTCTACAATCAAATGTCAAAGTTAAACCAATTAAATTTTATAGATGAACAAAAAAATGCAATGTTTTTACAATTCATTGTAAATCTCGATAATTACTTCAGCTAATTGTAAACTAAACTAATCTAATTAAAGGTAAAACTATGATTTTTATAATGAGCTTACTTTGTTATTTCTTTGTATCATTTTCTGTAATCAAATGTCAAAGTTAAACCAATAAAATTTTATACCTGAAAATAAAAATGCAATGTTCTTGCATTTCATTGTAAATCTCGATAATTACTTCAGTTAATTGTAAACTAAAGTAATCTAATTAAAGTTAAAACTACGATTTTTCCGATGATCCTACTTTGTTATTTCTTTGTATCGTTTTTCTGCAATCAAATGTCAAAGTTAAACCAATTAAATTTTATAGCTGAAAAATGCAATGTTTTTACATTTCATTGTATATTTCGATAATTACTTCAGCTAATTGTAAACTAAAGTAATCTAATTAAAGGTAAAACTACGATTTTTCCGATGAGCCTACTTTGTTGTTTCTTTGTATCGTTTTCCTACAATCAAATGTCAAAGTTAAACCAATTAAATTTTATAGCTGAAAAATGCAATCTCACTGTATTTTATTATATATATTTATCTTAATTACTGCTATTAATTGTAAACTAATTATCATTACGTTTTTCTTTTCGATAATTTTTTATACGGTTAATTAACATTTTTACTGTCAAAAGTGAAACAATCGAATCTTGAAGCACTCAAAAATATTGTTTGCCCACCCACTTGATTCATTTCTACAAAGTAAAAGAAACGTTACCGTTTTGTTTCATCTCTTTTTCATAGACTTAATTTAAGAAAATTTCATTTTTTTTTTTGTTATTGTTTAAAATTAATGTAAATATTTGCCATGTGATTAGCTACAAAAATAAAATAAATTCAAAATTTTTGTTTGTAACGTTGTTGAAAAAAATATAATTGTTTTCGTAGCTGATTCCACTTTTAACCGGTAATATTTACAGAACGTAATCGTTCTCGAACGCTTTCCACTATTTGCTTCCATAGATAAATAAATTTTTATGTTCATTGAGAAAACTCAATGTTAAATAATTGTCGCTTCCGATGATTAACAAAAGTAAAGAAAGTTCAATGTTTACTGACTTTTAGATTTGCGTTTCAAAGTACAATTTTTTAATAATCCTGATCACTGAACGCCGCAAAGTAACAGATGATTCCGTTTCGTGGAGTCGGTTGATTCTGCAGGAACATGCAGGGCAGAGATGAAGGTGGATCTGCGATGTTATCGTCGGTCTCTTTAGAAGAAGGTTCCTCTCCCGCTTGTCCCAACCACGACATGTTCTGCTCGGTGGAGGTGAGGACTTCTTCGTAAACGTGCTGAGGCTGCAAAAGGAACGAATTGCTCAACACCGTGACGCGAGGAGATAAGGATCAGGTGGAAAAGTTCGCGCAAAATGATTTACGATTGCACTCACCAAAACATTTTTGAGCGGCTTCAACTTCAGATTCGGCGGACTCTTGTTGAACGGCTGAATTATCCTCTTGTTCTGCAGCTGAAGAAGCAGGAACCACATGTACTCGTTGCGGATGCTCATCTCGTCCGAATTCTCGTCCATCTCGTGCAGTTTGTCCAGCCATAACTGCAGAATGTCGCGTTCTGTAACAGAGTTAAATGAAGAAGTAATGTTAAATGAGATTGAAGATGTGAAGAGATTGAACCTGTGACGGAGACGAGTTGGAGCAAGGCCCTTGCGAGCATGCTGTTGTACATGAAGTTCTCGTTGAGAGACAGAACCGGATTCGCCATGATTATTCACTAAAATTTAGGAAAAAGTGTGGAAAGAAAGAAATAAAAGGGAAATTCTCAATTCGAATGACAATGACATAACTTTTAGATTTAACGCGTTTCCATGGTCAATCGCAACAATTGAATGCGACGCGTCAAATAAGGTGAGACGATCGATGAAATCGAGCGTTAAAGAATTAACTTTTGATGAAATTCGCAGAGCACACATTGAAAGCGTGCCTCTGCGATGAATGAAAGTGGAAAGGAAACAACTAGATTTTGCAGTTGTGTTAACAAATGTAATCCGAGCGCAAACAAGAAACGTCATGGGAGCAGATCTACGCTAAATCTGATATAAACGCGTCCACGCGTTCATCTGAGGCCAGTTTTTCGCCAGGTGAGGTTTCGCGAGCGAACGGTCTCATGACTGAAGACGTCGCGTTCTTATTCCACTGCAATCGCAAGAGTTAATAATAATATTAATAATAATTTGAAAGAAGGATGAAAGGTGTCGGCGGAATCGGTGGAGCGCTGAAGGGGTTCTTCTTCGGCAAAAAGTACGATTTCCCCGAGAAATTCGACAGTAAGTCTTAGTGTTAACTCAACATGCATACTCAACATTAACAAAAATCTTCTGGTAGAAAACGAAAAGACCGATTTCGAGACTGCGATCACCGCTACAGGATTCGGTAAATTCAACCTTTGGTTAATCTTGGTCGCGATTCCGTCCGGATGGGCGTCCCTGTTCGAGACGACGACCATCTCTTATTTGATCCCTGTGGCCCACTGCGATCTGGACATCTCCCTCGAGGAACGTGGCTACTTGATCTCCATCTCTTATTTGGGTGAGGAAACTTTTAATCCGGCGAACAAACACATTTAGCGGTGGAAAAGTTTTTCAAATTCATTTAATGTAAATACCGTTGTTTTTCGTTTCATTGTTTGAATCAACTTCGGTGGAGATTAAGAAGTCACGATGATTTAGTGATTTATAAATTTAGTCTGCTTTCGACGAGATGATTAATCGAAAAGTGTTTTTCCAATGAATCACTGTTAATTAATTTGAATTGAAACATTTCTTTTCCCAATATCAAAGTTGAATGAACGATACAATAGTTATACTTTAATATTAATCTCATATTTTTAATTAAATTAAGGACGTAAGCTATAAAATCTTTTAAAATAAAGTAAATTAGTAGTTCAAATATATTATTAATTAGTTCAAGTTTGTATCTTTTCAAGGACGCTGTAATTGTATCCACATTATAGTGATTTTCTCAGAAGCTACAGCAGATATATTGGATCAAAAAGATGGATATAAAAGCTGAATGTTTGAGGAATGTAGAAAGTATTGATATATTACGGTGTATCCTTACGGCTGTAATTCGCATTCAAAGTTGAAAAAATGAAAAGAAAAACAGTGTTTTCACATTTCATT